ACGTGGGAAAAAGAGAAGGAAATGCGACTACGCTATCCATATTTGTTTCCCGACGAAGGTAAATTAAGTTTGGAGGACCAAACTTCCTAAAGGGGGAAAGACTGTGATACCCCTGTTCCGTAATATGCTAATCGGTCCTTAATTTAAACGTGATTATGTGCTTGACATGATTTTGTGTGCCAATTATGCGAATTTATGTGGTTTTGAATTTCTATCTATTCACCGTAGGAATATCTGTTTGACTATCTGCTTTGGAAATTAAATTGGTGGCCTCATTGGCCATAGAACCCGAAATTGATTGCGCCATTGTGATTGGCAAAATTTTTAGAGCCTACGGTGAAATTTAATTGAAAATTTGTTCGGGTCAGATTAAATCTCTTAAATTGATGAATTAGTGCCCAATTGTCATTAATATTATAATGGACTTAGTGGAAGTTGTTGTAAAGAGGCACTACACTTCAATTCTTCTCCTTAGTTGCATTGTGGCTGATCTTGGACTCAAAATTGAGAGAGAGCCGACTATAGAGAGAGAAAGGAAGAAGAATTGTACAAGTTTGCTCTTGAGGCTTGGGAGCTTTGAAGTCTAACTCAAGAATTAACCTTAATTTGTGAGGACTAAGGCTCCTAGGTGAGTGAATTTGTACATCTTAGTTTGTAATCTTTGTGAATTCAAGTTGAATGTTGATAAGGAACATAAAATAAATTGTTCATGATGAAATCAAGTTGGTTTTGTTGATTTGGTAGTCTATATGCACATACATGTGAGGAAGTACTTTGAAATTGCATGTTTGAGCATAAAAATGTATAATCCATGTGCAATTTTAAATGAAACTCATGTTTGATCACCTCTTCACCAATTGAGTTGTAAATGATGAGCATCTCCCACATGCATATACAAATAATGGGGGTGTAAGGCTTGATTGTTTGAATTTGAGTATGTTGGTGTTGAGTTTGAGTTAGTTTGAGTCATGCATGTGATTAAATTGTGAAATTGAGCTCCATTGTGATGTAATTTGGTGTTTGTACCATGTTAGTACATAAATATATGAAGTTTGAGCCAAAAATCATGAATTGAGACCTTTGAACATCAAATTTGAACTCCAAGAACAGTTCTGGAATTTCTAGAAAGTTGATTACCGCTCGAGCGGGAAACCGTCGCTCGAGCGTGAATTTCATGCTCCCAGCACTTTTTGCAGACATGGTGTCCGCTCGAGCGGGGGAGTTCACGCTCGAGCGTGGAGCCATGTAGAGAGGCCTTCCGCTCGAGCGCCAGAGTTCGCGATCAAGCGTAATTTTGATGCATCCAGTACTTTTGCAGGCCTTAAGGGTACGCTCGAGTGGGGAAGTCCACGCTCGAGCGGGGACCCTATTTTTTGAAATTTTGAAAATGCACTCTGTGTTATGTTTTTCGTTCCCTTTCACTTCTAAACACTCTTAGGCATACATTGAGCATTGTAATTGGATTAAAGAGATAAGAATGAAGCCTAAAGAGGAAAATGTGAATTTTGAACGGATTGAATTGTCAGTGACCCTTTTATGTTCATGGCATGTGTAGGGTCGAGTTTTAGGGCAAACTAATCAACCGATCACTGTGAGTAATATCTGACATATGTTATTGTCCAATTGCTACTTCTATGTAAGTTTTGTAAAGTTCATTAATTTGAATGGTGGACACAGTTTGATATGAAAGGCCTATGAGCCAGTTTGTTACGAAAGGCCTATGAGCCAGTTTGATAAAATGAAAGGCCTATGAACCAATTTGATATGATAAAAGTTTGAAAAGGCCTAAGAGCTAGTTTGACATGAATGAATTGGGCCCAAGGCCGTCTGTTGTATAACGTTGCAATGCATTTCCTTTACTTGATATTATTCACTGGGCTTTCGGAATTTACTGAAATTAAATTGAATTGCTATCTTGTGTTCGGAATTTACTGAAATTAAATTGAATTGCTATCTTGTGTTCGGAATTTACTGAAATTAAATTGAATTGCTATCTTGTGTTCGGAATTTACTGAAATTAAATTGAATTGCTATCTTGTGTTCGGAATTTACTGAAATTAAATTGAATTGCTATCTTGTGTTCGGAATTTACTGAAATTAAATTGAATTGCTATCTTGTGTTCGGAATTTACTGAAATTAAATTGAATTGCTATCTTGTGTTCGGAATTTACTGAAATTAAATTGAATTGCTATCTTGTGTTCGGAATTTACTGAAATTAAATTGAATTGCTATCTTGTGTTCGGAATTTACTGAAATTAAATTGAATTGCTATCTTGTGTTCGGAATTTACTGAAATTAAATTGAATTGCTATCTTGTGTTCGGAATTTACTGAAATTAAATTGAATTGCTATCTTGTGTTCGGAATTTACTGAAATTAAATTGAATTGCTATCTTGTGTTCGGAATTTACTGAAATTAAATTGAATTGCTATCTTGTGTTCGGAATTTACTGAAATTAAATTGAATTGCTATCTTGTGTTCGGAATTTACTGAAATTAAATTGAATTGCTATCTTGTGTTCGGAATTTACTGAAATTAAATTGAATTGCTATCTTGTGTTCGGAATTTACTGAAATTAAATTGAATTGCTATCTTGTGTTCGGAATTTACTGAAATTAAATTGAATTGCTATCTTGTGTTCGGAATTTACTGAAATTAAATTGAATTGCTATCTTGTGTTCGGAATTTACTGAAATTAAATTGAATTGCTATCTTGTGTTCGGAATTTACTGAAATTAAATTGAATTGCTATCTTGTGTTCGGAATTTACTGAAATTAAATTGAATTGCTATCTTGTGTTCGGAATTTACTGAAATTAAATTGAATTGCTATCTTGTGTTCGGAATTTACTGAAATTAAATTGAATTGCTATCTTGTGTTCGGAATTTACTGAAATTAAATTGAATTGCTATCTTGTGTTCGGAATTTACTGAAATTAAATTGAATTGCTATCTTGTGTTCGGAATTTACTGAAATTAAATTGAATTGCTATCTTGTGTTCGGAATTTACTGAAATTAAATTGAATTGCTATCTTGTGTTCGGAATTTACTGAAATTAAATTGAATTGCTATCTTGTGTTCGGAATTTACTGAAATTAAATTGAATTGCTATCTTGTGTTCGGAATTTACTGAAATTAAATTGAATTGCTATCTTGTGTTCGGAATTTACTGAAATTAAATTGAATTGCTATCTTGTGTTCGGAATTTACTGAAATTAAATTGAATTGCTATCTTGTGTTCGGAATTTACTGAAATTAAATTGAATTGCTATCTTGTGTTCGGAATTTACTGAAATTAAATTGAATTGCTATCTTGTGTTCGGAATTTACTGAAATTAAATTGAATTGCTATCTTGTGTTCGGAATTTACTGAAATTAAATTGAATTGCTATCTTGTGTTCGGAATTTACTGAAATTAAATTGAATTGCTATCTTGTGTTCGGAATTTACTGAAATTAAATTGAATTGCTATCTTGTGTTCGGAATTTACTGAAATTAAATTGAATTGCTATCTTGTGTTCGGAATTTACTGAAATTAAATTGAATTGCTATCTTGTGTTCGGAATTTACTGAAATTAAATTGAATTGCTATCTTGTGTTCGGAATTTACTGAAATTAAATTGAATTGCTATCTTGTGTTCGGAATTTACTGAAATTAAATTGAATTGCTATCTTGTGTTCGGAATTTACTGAAATTAAATTGAATTGCTATCTTGTGTTCGGAATTTACTGAAATTAAATTGAATTGCTATCTTGTGTTCGGAATTTACTGAAATTAAATTGAATTGCTATCTTGTGTTCGGAATTTACTGAAATTAAATTGAATTGCTATCTTGTGTTCGGAATTTACTGAAATTAAATTGAATTGCTATCTTGTGTTCGGAATTTACTGAAATTAAATTGAATTGCTATCTTGTGTTCGGAATTTACTGAAATTAAATTGAATTGCTATCTTGTGTTCGGAATTTACTGAAATTAAATTGAATTGCTATCTTGTGTTCGGAATTTACTGAAATTAAATTGAATTGCTATCTTGTGTTCGGAATTTACTGAAATTAAATTGAATTGCTATCTTGTGTTCGGAATTTACTGAAATTAAATTGAATTGCTATCTTGTGTTCGGAATTTACTGAAATTAAATTGAATTGCTATCTTGTGTTCGGAATTTACTGAAATTAAATTGAATTGCTATCTTGTGTTCGGAATTTACTGAAATTAAATTGAATTGCTATCTTGTGTTCGGAATTTACTGAAATTAAATTGAATTGCTATCTTGTGTTCGGAATTTACTGAAATTAAATTGAATTGCTATCTTGTGTTCGGAATTTACTGAAATTAAATTGAATTGCTATCTTGTGTTCGGAATTTACTGAAATTAAATTGAATTGCTATCTTGTGTTCGGAATTTACTGAAATTAAATTGAATTGCTATCTTGTGTTCGGAATTTACTGAAATTAAATTGAATTGCTATCTTGTGTTCGGAATTTACTGAAATTAAATTGAATTGCTATCTTGTGTTTAGATTTTGCTTACTAGTAAAATATGTAATTTCTGTGTGGTGGGTTGGTGGTTTGGTTTGGTTTTGTTTTGTTTGAATTGATGATACATTTAGTCTGAAAACTGAATTGGTGAATTTATTGTATACTTTGTGAATTAAGGCATGGTTATTCTATGCAATATTGGTGCCAAATTATCATATTTATGTTTATACATTCTAAGCTTATCTCCAATCCTTACTCATTGTGTTATTTAGATTTGAGTAAAATTTTGCTTAAAAGTTTGGAGCACTCAATGTTTATTTTTATTTCTTTTTTCTTTTTTCTTTTCATTATGTATTTTTCAAAAAAAAATCCTACTTATCTATAAACCTCTTTTAACTATTTTTTATGAAAGAAAACCATCTCCGACTCTACTCTTTTTAAAATATCTCAAGGTTAGAGTGAAAATATGATTGTTGGGAATTTGACAAGGATTTGGTTCATCCTTGATGTCATGAAGGATTTGTCCTACTTTAACTTGATTCAACTTTTTTGAAACGACTTGAGTTCACTTTTAGCCATTTTCTCAGCAAATTTGAATTTGATGGAGGAATATAGATGCCCTTAGTCATTGTTTTTGGATACGTGCACTGATGTAATCATAGAGTACCCACTAATGGTATAAGAAATGCACTGGAGAGGGGAAATGTTTCTCCTATGCAAAATTTAGTAAAAAAATGTGATTTTATCAAGAATCAAGAAACTTAGGGTTTTTGTTGCGTGAATCTTGTTGATATGGGTTGAAAGCAACTCAAACTTATTTAAATTTTGCTACTGGGTAGCGACTATTGTAGTGAGAAACATGTGTGGGACTTGGAGAGCAATATCATAACAAAAAACTAGGGGGAGAGAGAGAGAGAGAGAGAGGATGTGGGATTGGTCACTTGTAGCAAAAAGGAAATTATACAACTATAGCTTATTGTGTCTTTGATGTTACAAAGAATTCTACTATAAGAAACATTTTAGAAATCGAACCTGTATTTGCCTCAATAGATATTTCTCCTTTTATTATTTTGAATGATTATTATCTCTAAATTGGTGATGTAAATATATGTATTTCAGGCTGTAATAAAGCAGTTTAGTGGGACCAGTTATGAAAGTTCTGATGTGATGGTCATTGATGAGGTTGAAATGCAAAGACATCAACAGTTAGAGAAATTTTACAGGTCTACTTGTGCAGGAAAGTTAAGATGTTTCAACTAGTTCAACGGTTAAAATTAGACTATCAACCTTGAGGTAATGGTTAAACTGAAGTCAACCACTTTGTACAAATAATTCCAAATGTTAGAACTTAGGTCTGTAACTTATCTATCCTTCCCCGACCCCATCAACGGAAACTAAATGGGCTGTACATATGGCATCAAAAGTTATATAATTTTTGGTTTTGAATTGAATGAGTTTGGATTGCAAATCACTATAGATTGGAATGAGGAAATATTTTTTATTCTTAACCAGGCATGGTGTAGGTGGTAGAGGTTAGAGGTGGTCTATTGTTGACCTTCGGGAAGATAAAGTTGGTGAAGTGCTTGCCGTCTTGCTCGGGCTGACCTATGGGAATATGGCGGGCACTTCACCAACTTTATCATTGACATTTTTGAATATTTTCCGATGACAAAGTTGTATTCACCTCCAACTAGCTCGGGTTGAACAAGGCTAGAAACGCCTCGCTCAAACCTATTACCATGACCAGTCTTGGCTCTCAAGGTATCAATGCATTCCTAGAACTTGGCACATTTTGGGAAGAAGGTCTGGTACCTATCATACCACAGCCAAGATCGACTTCAGCATCATCCCCTCATAATTTCAGTATTCTTATCCAAGCTTGCCTTATCATCCTCAGAACCCTTTGCATCATCTTCAATGCTTTCCAGCCATCTATAGGCATCAAAGCCTGCCTTACTCTTCCCTATCCTAGAGGAAGGGTTTGCTGGACGAAAATCACCAATGCCAGGTAGCCATTCCACCGCCAAATCCGTGGTAGTGTCACCAAGAAGGTCACAATCCCTTCTAGAGGATCTGGGGGAATTGAAAGGCCACCATCTTGAGAACCATCAGTCAATGAGGCCTTCTGTTGCACTAATTTTATCCAACGAACATCCTTTGCCCCCTACAAACAACTGAGGCGTTTTAATGCAAACATATTCAAAACACTAAAACCAAATTAAAAATGTGTTACACAATTTGAGTACGAGCACGAGTTTACCTTGGTTAGTTGAAAAGAACTGACCAAGCCGCTAGGGCAACTCCTTATTTTGCAAGCGACCCCAGTAGCGATAGATGAATTCAGGCCTCTTGACTTTGGATGCACTCTCTTAGCAACAAGAACAGCAACAAAAGCAAGGGGTGGCCTTTTACGTTTGGCATAGGGGACAGTGTTAGAATGGAACAATTGAACTTGGTCTAACATAGCTGCTACCTTAGCCAACCGAGCCAGTGGGTTGAGCTCACCCTAATTGGCAACCGATGAGCCCCTCTCCTCGTGAGGCATACACAACTCACTGTCATTGGACAAAACAAGCTCTAGATGCACTGGCTCAAGATTGCCACTCAAAAAAATCCAAAAAGCCGCAAGGTTATGTTTTCAATACTTCTAGCTCATGGTAGTTCCACCAACTCTATCTTTGCCCGTTAATACAATTCAACCACCACTCCTTAATTCTTCAAGAAGGAAAGCATACATAAATAGTTGCATACAGTTAGTTGCAAAAGAAGGGGAAGGAAGATGCTAAGAGATGCCTTGGTCCAAGCCAAATTTCCTTGCGACCTTTAAAGGATTATTGCCGCTAGGTCATAAGTGCAATCTATAAAGAAAAGTAAATACCTAGGAATGGTATTTATCAAAAAAAAAAAATAATAATAATAATAATAATAATAAAATAAAATAATACCCAAGAATGGCATTGAGAATCATCACAGAATTTGCATTCCCCAAGAAAGATACACCTAGCTCAAGAATAAGCTCACAATCATCTCGAGCAATATTCAGTAGTCGAGGCAACCACACAAATTGGCCTAATATAAGGATGGGCAACTAATTTATCCTCAAAGTAAAAAATGCCGATTAAATCCCACGAATAGTCCCTTTAGTCCATCGGACTGAACGAGGCTTACTGTATCCAATAGAGAATGACCTTGTCATAGGAGCTAGGCTAGGAAACTGTTCACACAAAACTAGTTGTAGAGATAACGTTTGAAGATAGCTAATAACATCATACCGCCCTTTAGAACGATAGGCGCCCTCTTAGAATGTATCCAACCGCCTATATAAACCCCCAGAAATAAAGGGGCTAACGGAATCGGATGTCCGGAGGCAAGAATGGCAACAAACAGGAACAACTCATAACATATACCATCTTGGGGTCTACCCATCATGATATAATGTGACAACCAATATACAATAAAAGTGGCTAAGTGCTCAGTACGCCCCCACTTTTCTCCCTCTATACCAGGATTCATTATTCCATTCTCCGGATCACCTTTTACTTGTTGGCTATGATCTTGGAACCAGTAATGCGACCAACCCCCAAAAGTGTTCTTTATCGTCACCCCCGCAACTGCGGTTCAATCAGTACTTTGTTCTGGTATTGACTCAGTATCCGCCCTGCTGGGTCCATAGAGATCTCCAATTTAACAACTATAGCCTTTTGACTAAGGCACAAACTACTAGCACTGAGGTTCACCAAGCCGAGGTGTTCTAAACTAGTCAAAACAGTCACATCCTCCAAACAAGACGGATCCCACTTGACCCGTATACATTGACAAATCGCAGTGTCAATCTTAGATTCGGTCAACACCTCGTAATACGAGGGATGGTGAAACATGGCCACACTCCAAATGTTGAAGTCATCCTTGACCCTTGTATAATCCTCAAAAGCATGAAAAGAGTAAGGATAGTTGCCCTGCTCCACATGAAGATTCACAATGGACGCAGGAGGAATAAAAGCTTCTACCAATCCCTCGGGTTTGACTCAACCAAGAAGAATTTAAGAAGGGCTCTCTCCACCCTCATTAAACAACTCTGCCCTTTTCCAAAACAAGCCTGAAGAGCCAAAAGAACTCTGCCTTCACCAATAGTCTGCGGTTGGAAAATTAGGTGGGGCCGTTGCTTATTTTTTAGCTTTATAAGGACATTTTTTGGTCTCGTCTCCCTTTTATCTGAAAGTAATAGATGAATCTATTGGTGGTTGTTGAGATGTACTAGGGAGAGGGACAACACCTCCCCCCTTTACCTTTGCCATCTCCAAATGGCATGGCCTGCATGAACCCAAAAATCAAAAATAAAAATTCGTGTTCATAGAGCAAAATACGTTCAATATGGAAGTTGAAATAAGATGGACATCTTACCTAAAATTGGCGCAACACACTCAACAACAAAGACGAATGAGAAAAAGTGAGTGTTGATCCAAAGGTAAGTGTAGTGCCCAACTACAGACATAAAGAAGAGCTACACATTACAAGGGAAAAGGTACAACTTACAATTTTAAGCCTGCCTTACTAACTAGAAAACATACCAAGCTTCGAAGCTCAAAGGGAAAGAACCACGTGGAAAAAATCACTCTTCCTTTGCTGTCCAAGCACAACTTCGCACTCGAACTCACTGTGTAATTCAGCAAGATAAAAGTAAGTTCTTGGCGGAGAGCACCTCAACCATAAACAAAATTCAAAGTGAAGGAATTTACCCAATTGCTCAATGGCCAAACTAGCCCTCCATGCTCTAACTTGCTCCTAACTGGCTTTTGACAACAACACCGGGTTCAATCTGTCTTATGTCGCACAAGTAAGCAAAAATTGGGGGCACAAATTTAATCACTACATGACGCAATTAGTAAAAGAGTAGAGCAGCAAGGAAGTAGGAAAACTTATTAGAATAAATTTTGAAGCATAGCCAAACATCGGGCAAAGCTCACAACTATCCGACCCAACTTGCAAACCACTTTGCTTGAATAGCTTGCTCTAACACCTCGCTCACCTTCAAGTCACACTCCAAGTAATATAGGTTGTATCCGACTTAGTCTAGAATAAATTTGTTTGAATTAGGTTCGCAAATTGATCTTGTCGCTTCACCTTGCTAGCTACTCTCCCTCCCCTTGCCGATTTGCACTTGCAAATCTTGAAGAAACCCTTTCTAAACCTTGCTTGGCTGGCAACTCTATTGCTAGCTCGCAAAGTAAAACTAAGCAATATTGATCTTGCTTGACCCACTTTGGAGAGCACTATAGAGAGTAGTTCGTAACCCCTTTTTCGGAAGCGACTTTGAAGAGCAACATGATTTACTTTTAAGCTTGTGAAAATTTTGCTTCTCTAGCCCCCCTTGCTTTGGCTCTCAACCTAGCAAGCTCTCTAGACACCTAGCTCTGGCTCGCAATGTAGCAAGCTCTCCACCACCTCGTGGCTTGTACAATCACTTCCACTGGAAGAGGGACCATTTGTCAAGTTGTGCAGGTGATAACCCCACTAAACTTGGAGTAAATACATGTTAACATTATCTCACAAACACCATGACTGAGACACTTGGATCATCACATTTCAATTATACCGGGCACCAATGGTAGAGTCGAACACAAGCTTAGGACTAGAATGGACCTTAGAAGAATTCGGCGATCTCAAAAAGGAAAGGAGCACCTTCTACAACCCTTGCAACACCCCACTGAAATTATTGGTATTCAATAGCGAAAGAGTCACTCACCCTAGCTTTCTTCACCATTATATGCACCTCAACGCAATTGCGCACCACTAATTAGTCATTATTATAGAAACAAAAAGGCAAGGAAGTCAAGTTGAATTCATGAGTAAAATTCTAGGGTATCAGAATACGCAAACCATAGAATCGCTCAACAATGTATTAGAAAGGATGAGAGGAGGTATGTGGTCTTATGGAATGACACGGAAATCTCCTGTGAGATTGTGGAACTCCCAACGCAAGAGACTGCTTCCCAAAAAGTTCACATCTTTATTCAGGTAACTTTGAGGTTGGACGAAAACTAAGGGCTAAAGCTCTATATGAGCATTTGTATGTCCCATCTTCTCGGTTAAGGTCTTGTATCAAAAATATTGAATAAAAATTTAGCGCCTTGTTTAAACTGATCATATGTTAATATTTTTAGCATCACTTGTGTACGAATACACTAACTGCTCTTAAGAGCACTTGTACAAGGGGGCATTAATGTGAGTGTCTATACCACACTCGACATGTGGCGAGTCCTTTAGGTGCAACATCATTGCCATCACATGCCTACGTGGCAGACCTCTAAGGCACCACGGTCAATTGAGATTGTATGCCCAGCCTAAGCGGAGGCATGCACATCACCGAGAATGGAGAACTCTAATAGGTGGCCGTCAACTTGCCTACGGCTTACTAAGGCCCTAGGTTCACCTACCGGCCCAATTTGGGTTCTTGGCCCACCTCTATTGTCTTGGCGGCCTAAAGTTGAGCCTCTAGCTCGCACTTGTTCGGCTCTTTGGCCCATATACACTTGCCTCGTAGCCTAAGGCGGGGCCTTGCCTTAATGCTTACTTATTCTACCACAAGACTGTCAACATATTGCCTGGCTGCCTACGATGGGAGCAGGGCCTAGGCATCCCCGCTTGGGACATTGAAGGACTGTGGACTGGAGGCAAAGACCATAGGACTGTCAAGATATTGCTTGGTTGCCAAGATAGCTCCACCTTTACTAGATTTAGAGAGGCGCGAGAGGGACCTTACACCCACTCCTTTGCATACACGATACGTTGCCCTCGAAGATATCAGACTTGCCACTCCAGACGACAATAGAGCTGATATCAGCTCCTTGAGGTGAGGAAAGCCCACCACGTGTCCCGTAGGTTGTTTGGGCTCCAATACTAATATGTCATACATGCAGCGATTATCAACATTCGTTATACAACAACATTTGACCAATACATGATTGTTACTAAAACTTTTCTTGTTTTTGTTTCTAAAAACACTAAAAATGAAAACAAAAATTTGACCAATACTTTTGAGTATATAAATAGGAAAGTTGCCCTCTGTCTCTAATAGCTTAAGCTTTTGGATGAGTTGGTGGTCAACAATTCAACATGGTATCTGAGCTCTAGTTCTAGGTGGTCTTCAGTTTAGGTCTCGTTATCCCTATTATCTTTGTTATTAAGCACTCTGTTTTGCTTGTTTTTTGTGCACCTTGTTCACTCAGTTTGTTTGCCTCTCCACATGTGACGGGGAGTGTACGTTGTTGGGCCTATTTCCCAATTGCTTAAGCTTTTGGAGACAATTGGTGATCTAATAGATACTAAACAGGGCCTATGTTTTGCCTGCAGTTCAGAATATAAGGCATTTTATTTTTCAATGTTTAGCTTTCATTACATTAACCAATTGTAACATACTTCTGTAAGTTCTTTTGCAATACCTAAGAGTGCCCTAAAACACTCATCGTATAAGTTAGTGATGTGCATGAGGGAAGTTCAAGAAAAATATCTTGGAGGGACTTGTTTAAGTGGGGTTGAGCATCTGAATTTTCTGAATAGATAAATTTACTAGTTATGTTGGAAATAAATCAAATAATCAATAGTGTGCTATTGAATGCCAGTCTTGAGTTTAACAATTCTGGGTACCTCAGATTTTTTTTTTTGGTTGATAACATGCCTTTTGAAACATGTTAATTCCCTACGGTCCGTGGCCTCAAGAGTTTTGCTGGCGAGGTGAGTCGAACCTGAGACCTTGGAGGGAGCAATCCCTAAGTCTCAAGCCTCATCTACCAAGCCAAACACTTGGGGTTTCCTCAGTTACTTATTGTGTTCCTAGAACTTTTTTTGCACCTTATTTTTTCTTTTTGATGCAAATAACCAAACCAAACCAACCAAGCCTTAAGTCTCATCAAATGGGGTCGGCTACATGAATTCTTTTTCTCCACTTGACTCTATCAACGGCCATTTGATTAGTCAAATTAAGGAGATTCATATATCTATTTAGTGCACTAGCCAACGCCAATCTAGGTCTACCCTTTCCTTAACACTTCCATCTACCGTTATTGTACAGTTACTTATTGTGTTCCTAGAACTTTTTTTGTACCTTATTTTTTCTTTTTGATGCAAATAACCAAACCAAACCAACCAAGCCTTAAGTCTTATCAAATGGGGTTGGCTACATGAATTCTTTTTCTCCACTTGACTCTATCAACGGCCATTTGATTAGTCAAATTAAGGAGATTCATATATCTATTTAGTGCACTAGCCAACGCCAATCTAGGTCTACCCTTTCCTTAACACTTCCATCTACCGTTATTGTATCGCATCTCTTCACTATAGTCTTTGTTGGTCTCCATTGTATATGACAAAACCATCTCAATCTATTCTTTCTCAACTTATCTTCTATTGATACTACTCTTACTCATTCATGAATATGTTCATTTCTAACTCTGTCTTTTGTAGTCTTGCTGCACATCCATCTTAGTATCCTCATCTCAGCAACACACATTTTATCTACATGTTGTTTCTTTGATGCAAATATGTGAGATAATTTATTAGATTGATGTTATTACTGTTTCATGTCCTCATTTCTGCAGGATTTTCAGAAAGATATTATTAAAGCAGCAGAAGCATTTACAGCCATAGGGTACAAGAATATTGAAGCAGGTAAAACATGAATTAGTACTGACTGGTTACATTGTTCTGGGGGATATTGTAATGGATGAACTAAGCAAGTTGCTTTATCAACATTTGTGTCATAGTAAAACATTATTATTTAAAGAAAATGCTATTCCACCATAATTTATATACAAAATTTTTCACCGTAGTGATGTGGTAGTATCATTTGTGTAATTAAAGACATCTCAATGGGCTCTTTATTCTGAAGTGATATCCTCAAATCTCAGTCAGGTCAATTCATATAAGTTATTTTGTATGGATTTTCTGTTTGTATATCACCACTCATTATTTAACGGTCCACTATGTATTTGAACTGAACTTTATTACTATTATGATAATCAGGAACCAAGTTGTCTGAGGATTGTTTCAGATATGGAGTTGAGAACGTTGATGACAAGATTCTAGCTAAGGCTGCATCTCTATATGGCGATACCCGTAAACATATGGAACAGGAGCAAGAAGACATTAATAGGCAATTATTTTCTCAGGTTTGTGCCATCTCTATGGTTAGCAACTATCAAATCAGTAGTGCTTCCTTTGGGATGACTACTTGTTAGTCATGTATTTCTATCACATAAATGTAATATATCAGCTAATTCTAAATAGAAATGAACATATCTTGTGATTCCTTTTTGAGTTTCTTTGAGATGCTAATTAGTTGTATATAAAACATGTAAGCTACTTGATTATGTGATTCTTTCATATTGAACTCCATCTTTTTTTCTACCTATAGCATTTGAAGTTAGAAGGGCCTTCTTGTGGTTGTGTTGGATAAAGGCACATATGCATGACTCTTTTATTTAAATTGTCAAAATTTGGATTTGTTTAATTAAAATTAATTTCTGCTTTTTGATATTTTGGAGTGAGAAGAGCACACAATAGCAAAACACCACATTTAAAGAAATCTTGTTTGATAACAATTTGAAAGAGGCTAGTTAATCTAAATGGTGAATGATCAACCCCACATATTTTCAACCAGTTTACTTTCTTCATATTCAAAATTGAGCTATTTATTATAACTATCCTAAAAATAGAAGTATGAACCTAACATTTTCTATACCCAGATTTTAGAACCATTGAGAGCAATGGTAACTGGGGCTCCTTTGGAGGATGCTCATCATCTTGCTCAACGTTATAGTCGAATGAGACAAGAAGCAGAGACACAGGTAATCAGACAGCTAGGCTACATTTATCTCGGGAAAATATTTTTCCTTGTGGCTGCAATTCAGATTGCCTAATCATAATAGTAGATCCTTAATATATTTTTTTATAGTTTTAATTGACCATAAAAGGAAACAGGCAGCAGAGGTTTCTAGAAGACATGCTCGACTAAGGGAAGCTCCCATTCCTGAAAATGTGGCAAAGTTTCATGCAGCAGAATCTAAAATGCATGAATTGAAAGCAAATATGGCAGTACTGGGTAAGGAAGCCACAACTGCATTGGCTTCTGTAGAATCACAGCAGCAAAGGTTGACATTCCAGGGGCTTGTTTCATTGGTATGTCTGCACTTCTGGAATTATTATTCTAATTTGTCACATATAATCATATGGTTTTGTATTTACTTTTTAAGTTTGTTCTTCTGAAGGTTGAAGGTGAAAAATCATATCATGAAAGAATAGCTACCATTCTTGGTGAGGTTGAAGCTGAGGTGAGTGTCTGTCTACAGTCTCTTTTTTCCAGAAAAGAAATATTTGTACATTAAAACAATTTATGTTTGTGGGATGACCTGGAATTTGGTGGTAGATGGTCTCAGAGAAACAACGAAAAGAGTCTGCTCCTCCTGTAATTCCATCCACCTACAGCTTAGAGAAAACAAAGTACTTCTTGGCTGAGGTATTTTCTAAATTTCATGAATTTCTGGCCATTAAACGATATGTTTCCAATTCCCAACTAGCTTCAGGGAGGATTTTATTTATGGTAGAATTACTGGAAAGTCCCTTTTCAGGAACTTGTTTACTTGTGATCTGATAAGTCCTATATATTTGAAATTTTATTCTAGGAGATATATATTTATTTTTTTGAATTAGATGTGTTTTCATGATAACTTCACCCTTGTTTTGGTCAACATGCTTATATGGCAACATTTTGTTATTTCAGGTTTAAAATTCTGTGACTTTCAAAATGCACATCGATTTTTGAAAACTACTCGACAAGATCTATCAAACAAGATCTCAATTGAATATAAAATTATGTAAAATGTAAAAAGTAAAAATTTCACTTTTTTTTTGAATTTGAATTTGAAAGTGCCAATTTTTTCTACAATTATAATAGTCTGAATTTTTAAGTGTGAAAATTATAAATGTAAATATTCGTATTTTCAATTAAAAAAATATTATGAATTTTTGAAAAGTATAAAAATTAGTTTGAATATTCAAACTTTTTAAAAAAATTTCACTTTCTAAAAATTAATATTATTCTAATTTATTGAAAATGTGAATATTTGTACTTTTAAAAAATGTACATTATTTTTTATTCGTATAAAGTATGAACATTTATATTATATAAATATATAATATAAGCAAAAACATTGTTGGTCCATTGAGTCTTAAAGTTCTAACTCTATTTTCATAAATTTTTGAATTAAAAAATTATGAAAATACACATGTCAATAAACTATTGGTCATTTGATCAATATGGTAATATATATAAACATGTAACTTAACTCTTATGAAACATTTTACATAGAAATCAAATCAAACTTTTTTATGTTTCAAAATATCAAAATCATATCATTTATTGATCAATAAGGTAATATATTCCTTAAAATCATAATGCTTTTTAAAAAATAATTTACTAAATATTTATAATATGAAAATACACATGTTATAATATGAGAAAATTTAATAAATATTATATTATAATATTATGAGCTCTTTTGTTATATTAATAGTTCTTTCTTATTTATTATTATCTTATTTTCATTTAATTTAAATATTTTGTTAATCCATATGGTAAGTTTTTTTAGTTTTCTTTAATTATAATCATCAATCTCTAATGAGCAATAAGCTGGCTGGAATTTCTATAATAGAAAGCATACATGTTTTGAAATTATCACTTTATTATTTATCGATAAATTAAACTATAATTATTATTTGTGAGTGATAATTTTTTCCAAATCTATTATTATCTATATATTAACGCAAAATAACTTTTTGTCCAAAATGTTTTAAGAGCTTCAAAATATTAATTTCAATTTATAAAAATTAATAAATACATGTCATATAAAATTATTAACCCATCCAAACATATCTAATTTAAAATTTAAAAACAAAATTAGATGAAAAGTTTATATGCAAGTCGAATCTAATTTAAGTAATAATTGATGGATTTCGGAGATCAAATTTAAAGTTTAAGAAGAATATGAGAAAAAACAATTATTTTTCATATAAATATTCGATGACATAAATAAAATTTTCATAAGAGAAATATTCTAGAAAAAATCTATACATGGTAATATACCTTTTGTTGATTAAATTTTAGTTATTTATATTTGGAATCTTTAAAAAGAATGTTCAAAATAAAATTTTAATAATTTATTGTTGACTACATTTGATATCATGCCTTAGATGACACTTCATATATATCATGTGGAGTGTATCAAATGATGTAATTAGTGCCATGTAAGATGTCACATTATATAATATCCAAATATGATAATTCTAACATTACTCAATTTAAAAATATATAAAAAAATGTAGATTATCCAAATTCAATATTTTATATACAAATATAAGTGAGTTTAGGGGTTTAGCAAAATGGTAGTCACAAGGCATGGGCAACTAACAAAGAGAAGTTAAGATGCCTAGTTGGAGAAAGGTTGGATGATTGAGGTCGTGAAAGTCGCGAGGTGGGTGAGGGAGGAGGACAAGAAAATGGTCCAATGTGAGCTGCCAAAGCTCGCGAGTGTGAGAAAATCGAGAAGTTGTACTTGGTAATTAATGCTGATTTCAGGACGAACAAGAGCATAGGGGTCACTGGTAGTTCATTGTTTGTCATTTTCATTTTAAATGGATTATTTTTTCCTGTTTTAACGCCCCAATCATGGTGAATCTCTTATTTAATCCCAACTAATATTTTCAATTTTTCATGTTAGGTTTAAGTAAGAATATTCACGTTTACTCGTTACCATCTATATAATTGGTGGCAATTGTGTCATTTTCAATCACATAGGACTAGATGGGTTTCAAGAATTTTAATTGGATTATATGGAACATAAGGCTCCTAAATGGGATTTACTAGTAAATGCCCCTTTATTTATTTATTTTTTAAAATAAAACTTTTACATTTGATCTTTTAATTAATTTTTTGAAATGAACTTAGATATGTTTTAAGGTCCTTTTGAGGTTGAAAGGGTAGTTTCTGTTGATATTATTAATTCACATACTATGTATTAACTTCTTGATTTGCGAAGGAGGTCAATGTTATTAACTACTGTTGTAATCCATAATTCCTTAAAATGTCTTCCCAGCATGCCTTAAGGCAAATACTTAATAATTGACTGAAGATTTATGTGCACATTATGCAGGCAATGCATGCTTTTGATGCTGCATCCGAGAAGGAACTGAGTTTGACAGTTGGTGATTATGTTGTTGTACGGAAGGTTCTCTCATATCCTAGAGTCGATCTTTGTTTGTTTTGTTTTTGTTTTTAAATTTGCGGCTCTTTTCAGCTGCATGGCCTTTTATCACAAAGTAATTTTGTTATGGTTGTGTTTGGATCTTGGATTTGTGAAGGGATTTGTGAAGATAAATTAGCATCTATTTCATTCACTTTTTTCCCATGCCTTGTCTTTTTCCTTCACAAATCCATTTACAAGTCCAAGATCCAAACACAGGTTATGGGTCAAAATTGAAGGAATATAACTTTCCTATTGTTTTGCTGTGGAAATTGTTTCCAAACTAATTTTTTAATGAAAATTTGAGGTTTTGGAAAATGAAAATTTATTTATTTAATTCTTTTGTTAGTAGCTTTCATTTCCTGGAGAGTTATTCAAACCAATGCATGACAGTCCTATAGACTGAGAAATAAACTTCTTGGAAACAAAGTTTTTCTAGTTCTCAGTAACATGTTTTCACTTTTCCTTACGATAATTTAATGCATTCAGGAATAATTCATCATTTGGGTTCTCTTGAAATTTCTCAGACTTCCCTACTATGACATTGTTCACAAAAATCTGGACAATTTTATGAGTTGAATTACCCACAGAATACAAGCAACATAACTTTGATTGTTCAGTAATTGTGCTGAAGAACTTTATGTATTGTAAATTAGGTTTGATTATGGTAGTTGCAGAACATGCAATCAGTAGAAATGCTTTCTAAAATCATATCTCAAAATCATCTTTTCCGTAGTTTGAAACATATCCTTTATTTGAAATCTAGTGTTCTTTGCATAAGGATATTGAATTGATTTGAATGACTTCATGTGTCTGCGCAGGTGAGCCTATCGGGATGGTCAGAAGGAGAATGCAGAGGTAAAGCAGGCTGGTTTCCATCAGAACATGTGGAGAAACGCCTGAGGATTCCCACCAGTAGTGCATCTGCTGAAGTTTTTTGAGCTGTGTGGGTACTTGATTTCATCTCCTAGATTGGGCATGTGTAGAGTAGATTCTCTATTGGGTAACTGTGCATATTGTGTATATCTGATGTTTGGTTTATTTGTGAGACTCAAAAACTTCTTTTATATATGATTATGCTTATGTATTCATTCAAATTTGCCTCGGACTTGTATTGTCTCAATTGCTAAAATATTGTTTCTTTGTTGCTTGAGTATTAAATTGATTCAGTGAATAAAACCAAATAATCTGTCCAGTATATGGAAAACGATTGCAAAAAAGTACACATGCTAGCATGAAATAGTTGACCCCTTATAGAGGATTCTGGTTGTTTCCTGTGAAGTATTGTTTTGTCTAGTTTGTTTTAAACGCCAAACATGACAAGGCTACCTTCCCTTCAACAAATGAGGTATGCCCCCCCTCCCAGCTCTCTCGCCCAAGGATTCTGTGTCCCCAAAATCTCAGTCCTCAAATTTTAATGCATTGATAACCAATTACAATTTGGTAAGAATTTCAAAGCATGAGAATCTTGAGTCATGATTTTGCGGTTGGGAGTGTATTAGTAGGATAGAGGTCAGTGAGTTTGGAACAAAAGATCTTGTGTTCACTTTTTCACACACGAGTAATTTATTATTCAGTGCCATCTGTGACACTGATGTGGCCATGTGTCATAGGCAGACTCTTTTGAGTATGCAGCGGAATCAATTCTGGCCCATGAGGTGCTTCAATTCTACCAAGTTCAAAGTCTCCTCATGACCGTAAGTGTTGAATCTTCACCCATCTTGTCAAATGTAGGCCCAATGCTTTATCAAGCAAGAACAACTCCCATAGAGAAACGTTTGCCTTCTGAATGCCACAAGTAGACTTTACGTCCACAGTGCACCAAGCACGACTCATGTCGCTTTATGATGCCAAGCTCACCTAAGAGCAAGACGCTTGCTCAACTGAGGCATCCCATGTTAGTGTAGCCCACAACTAAGCCAACTTGATGTTGCCTAACTGTGCACTAACGTAGAACTCTCAACCTAGCTAACAAGCTTCCCCTCTCATGTATATAGGGTCTCTTATTATGCCTGTCTCGAATATCCGATGATGATTGGAGGGTCACTGGCGCATCTACAACTTAATCCGCATGCTTACATTGGCATGCTAAACAATCCACTAAGGGTCATTGCGCACCCGAGGCATTGCACTAGCATATTGCACGAGCATGGCAATAATAATCTATATCCCACAATTAGCATTTCACCTTTTCGCAAGCTCTATGTGCCTTGCATGATGACAATGCTTTGTGTCATTCAAATGTTTGACCCTCTTTTCAAGAAAAAAAGAAGCGAGAATTCACCCTACCTAGTCAGGTCAACAAGTAGCAGTGTTGCCACCAAACCACTAGCTAGGCCACAAGTGTTACACAGTTTAGGATAGAACTCACCCCAAAAGCTATAGCTTAAGAGGTGAGGGTGCCCTCACACTTATATGTTTAATATTATTTTAGTACTTGGGTGACTTGAGACTTCACTTCACACCCTTCCTCACGCCCAACTTGCTCACTTGACAACACCTGTGGCGTATAAGCCAGGGTCACACACCTTACCCATCCCTAAGTACTTCGGCTCTGATACCATGTTACACGGTCTTGGGTAGAACTCAACCTCAAAAACTAGCTCAAGAGGTGAGGGTGCCCTCACGCCTATATGCTTAATATTATTTTAGTACTTTGGCGATGTGGGATTTCTCTTCACAACAAGGCCCCCACATTCACGGCTGAACCGAAGCGCATGTTCATGAGTTGGCACAAGAGGCCTTTTGGTGGTGCTTCGATATCCCATTCCATTCGATCTAGGTCGACACAACAATGTGCTGCAATACATGATATAGTAGGTTCATATCCCAAACCTCATGCCGAGATTAGATGTGCAGTGTCTACACTAATGTCTCTCGTGACAGTGTATATGGGGCTCCCAAACCTACATGGAGACTGTACGGGGAGCAAATATTTAGGCAAGCCCGTACTCCTTTCTTCCAAGCTCCTGTCTGTTCGATCGACCTGCGAGCACAACGGCGGTGAGCTACCCGGCGGTGTGTGGCCGGAAAACCCCTCCGACGGTCAAGTTAGCACACACTCAGGGATATAGAGAGAGAGGAGAGAGTTGAGTGTTCAAGTGTTTCTTACAAAATTATCCCTCCCCAGCATGGGGGGCGTAGTCAAACTTATATACTCTCTGCATTCCACATCTACTCCCATTAGTCTCTTGACACGTGATGCTGCTTTCCCATCCGTCAGCACAAATCCAACGAACACCACCTAACCAACTGCCAGACAACATTAGCGGGAACTCGGCAGCCCGGCGGCATCACCCGATCTCCTTCGACCGAGCTACTTATCGAGCCTAACAATGTCACTCGCTGAGCTCCATCACAACCGAGCTCCGTAGCACCCCAGTACAGCCGAGCTCCAGATAGGTTAGGCCGGTCCAAGGGAGACCTTCCCGCCGAGCTACATGCACGACCATAAGACCCAGATCGGCAGACAATCATCTCAGCCTCCTTCGACCGAGCTACTTATCGAGCTCAACACTCACCGAGCTCCATCACAACCGAGCTTAGCAGCACTCCGGTGCGATTGTGCTCCAGACAAGTTAGGCCGGTCTACGGCAGATCACGATCACTGAGCTAAAAAGAGCGAACAAGAGAAGACAAGCTGGTAGAGGATCTTCTCGGCCAACTCTGGTCTGGACTTCGGTCGAGCAAGCTTCACCTCGGCTCGGCCTAACCCAGCTCGGCCCAAATATGCTTGGACCACATTCAGCCCGGCCAGAACCGCAGCCCAAGCCGAGATTACGAAAATCCCCCTCTCAATTGCCCTTTAATTCCGTCTGCGCTAGTGTGACTGGGATTACATTACAAGGCCGGGCTATACTTTTTGCTCAGTGATCCACTTTGCTCGGTTTAGGAACTCCAAGGCGAGCAAGGTCCGATTCGCGACTTTGTTCTTGGCGAGCAAGATCAGCTCGGCAAAGAACTCAAAAAAAAGCGAGCAAGGTCCGCTCCGCAACTTTCTTCTTGGCGAGCAAGATCAGCTCGGCAAGGAACCCCAAGGTCGGCGAGCAAGGTTCGCTTGGTAACTTCCTTTTTGGCGAGCAAGATCAGCTCGGCAAGGAGCTCCAAGGTAGGCGAGCAAGGTCCGCTTCGCAACTTCCTTCTTGGCAAGCAACATCAGCTCGGCAAGGAACTCCAAAGAAGGTGAGCAACGTCCGCTCCGCAACTTCCTTCTTGGCGAGCAAGATCAGCTCGGCAAGGAAATCCAAAGAAGGCGAGCAAGGTTCGCTCTGCCACTTCCTTCTTGGCGAGCAAGGTCAGCTCGGCAAGGAACTCCATAGAAGGCGAGCAAGGTCCGCTCCGCAACTTCCTTCTTAGCGAGCAAGATCAGCTCGGCAAGGAACTCCAAGGTCGGCGAGCAAGGTCTGCTCGGCGACTTGCTTCTTAGCGAGCAAGATCAGCTCGGCAAGGAACTCCAAATAAGGCGAGCAAGGTCCGCTCCGCCACTTCCTTCTTGGCGAGCAACATCAGCTCGGCAAGGAACTCCAAAGAAGGCGAGCAAGGTCCGCTCCGCAACTTCCTTCTTGGCGAGCAAGATCAGCTCGGCAAAGAAATCCAAGGTCGGCGAGCAAGGTCCGCTCGGCGACTTGCTTTTTGGCGAGCAAGACCAGCTCGGCAAGGAACTCTAAGGTCGGCGAGCAAGGTCCGCCCGGCGACTTGCTTCTTGGCGAGCAAGATCAGCTCAGCAAGGAACTCCAAGGTCGGCGAGCAAGGTCCGCTCGGCGACTTGCTTCTTGGCGAGCAAGATTAGCTCGGCAAGGAACTCCAAAGAAGGCGAGCAAGGTCCGCTCCGCCACTTCCTTCTTGGCGAGCAAGATCAGCTCGGCAAGGAACTCCAAAGAAGGCAAGCAAGGTCCGCTCCGCAACTTTCGTCTTGGCGAGCAAGATCAGCTCGGCAAGGAACTCCAAAGAATGCGAGCAAGGTCCGCTCCGTAACTTCCTTCTTGGCGAGCAAGATCAGCTCGGCAAGGAACTCCAAGGCCGGCAAGCAAGGTCCGCTCGGCAAGGAACTCCAAAGAAGGCGAGCAAGGTCCGCTCTGTAACTTCTTTCTTGGTGAGCAAGATCAGCTCGGCAAGAAAATCCAAGGTCGGCGAGCAAGGTCCGCTCGGCGACTTGCTTCTTGGTGAGCAAGATCAGCTTGGCAAGGAACTCCAAGGTCGGCAAGCAAGGTCCGCTCGGCGACTTGCTTCTTTGCGAGCAAGATCAGCTCGGCAAGGAACTCCAAGGTCGGCGAGCAAGGTCCGCTCGGCGACTTGCCTCTAGGCGAGCAAGATCAGCTCGGCAAGGAACTCCAAAGAAGGCGAGCAAGGTCCGCTCCGCAACTTCCTTCTTGGCGAGCAAGATCAGCTCGGCAAGGAATTCTAAAGTTGATTAAAACCATCAACAAACCTCTAGCCGAGTAAAATTCATCCAACAAGAAATTCCAGAGTTGATAAAATCATCAACAAACCTCTTGCCGAGCAATATCCAACTGGCAAGGAATTCCAAAGTTGATCAAAACCATCAACAAACCTCTTGCTGAGCAAAATCCGACCGGCAAGGAATTTCAAAGTTAATCAGAACCATCAATAAATCTCTTGCCGAGCAAAATCCCCCTTGCAAGGAATTTTGATCTTTCCGTCAAAATGATTGTTAGTTGCTCCTTGGACCACACTAAATTCGCTTGGCGAGGCAAAAATACAACAATTCTCAAGAAAATGGTCTGCTTGTTTCATTGTGCCAATGGCAAAAAAGGTTACAAAAATAGAACTAAGAACAAAACTTTAGATTGGCAGAGTTCGATGTTCTGAAAATGGATCGGCCATTCACATTCTGCGAGTTTTATGCTCCTTTTCCTCGGCCTTCTTATAGATGTCTTCCAAAAAACGAACTCCCTATATCTCTTCCAGGGTGGTTTGCATGGCCAT